AAAGCTGATTCTCTCTGGTCAGTCCAGTCAAATGATATCCCCTTTTGAGTCAACTGAGTCAATGGTAGGTCAATTTTGGAGAAGTCCTTCACAAATCTTCTGTAGTATCCGGCTAAACCTAGGAAACTTCGGACTTCAGTAACATTAGACGGTCTGGGCCAATTCACTACTGCTTCAATCTTCTGTGGGTCAACTGAAATGCCATCTTTACTGATTACATGCCCCAAAAACATCACATTGTCTAGCCAAAATTCACACTTCGTTGGTTTTGCATACAATTTATGTTCTCTTAAGGTCTGTAAGGCAATTCTCAAATGATGTTCATGTTCTTCTATGCTTTTGGAATAAATCAAAATGTCATCTATGAAAACAACTACAAATTCATCGAGGAATGGTTTGAAAATTCTATTCATAAGGTCCATAAATGCAGCAAGTGAATTAGTAACTCCGAAAGGCATAACAAGAAATTCGTAATGTCCATACCTCGTTCGAAAGACAGTCTTTTCAATGTCTCCTGATTTGACTTTCAACTGGTGGTATCCAGATCTAAGGTCAATTTTAGAGAAAACCTGGGCACCCTGTAACTGGTCAAACAAATCATCAATACGAGGTAGTGGGTATTTGTTTTTCATTGTTACCTTATTCAGCTCACGGTAGTCAATACAGAGTCTCAAGGAGCCGTCTTTCTTTTTCACAAACAAAACTGGAGCACCCCATGGCGAAGTACTGGGTCTAATAAACTTCTTATCTAGCAACTCTTGTAGCTGAACTTTCAGTTCTTTCAATTCAGTCGGTGTCATTCTGTAAGGAGCTTTAGATACTGGCTGTGCACCCGAAATCACATCAATGGTGAACTCAATCTCCATATCAATCAAATCCCCTGGCAAATCATCTGGAAAAACATCTGGGAATTCTTTGACTATAGGAATACTGTTCACATCAATTTTAGCATCAGTAGGTACAGTCAATACACAACACAGATACCCTTTACACCCCTTTTTAATCAGTTTAAAAGCTTTCATGGATGAAATCAGATACGGGGGAGGTACTACTCTAACTCTGTTAAACACAAATTCAGGCAGTCCAGGTAGACGGAAAACAACTTGTTTTGTTACACAGTCTATGGTAGCATGATATTTTGTTAACCAGTCCATTCCCAATATCACATCAAAATGATCGATATTCAAAGGCAGTAAATCAATAAACAAATGCATATCCCCAACAATAATTTCACATGCAGGGTACATATAAGCACAAGTCATGGATCCTCCAATAGGTCGAGATACAGCTAACAAATAATTCATGGGTTCCAGTGGTCTATTCAATTTTCGTGAAAAAACATGCGAGACATAAGAATGTGTAGACCCCGAATCAATCAGAACATAAGCATTTTGAGCACAAATTGAGAGTATACCTGACACAATGGTCTCGGTATTCTGCACATCTCCCGGTACAAGTGCGAACACTCGGCCTTGCTTCATAGGCTCTTTTCTAGTAGCTTTGGGGTTGGGTTTTAGTGGAGCAGTTAATGCTGCTGTGCTTGGTGCAGCTTTACTATTGCCTTGAGGAGCAGAAGGGCAATCTTTGACCATGTGGCCCACCTTGCCACACTTGTAACAAGCACCAGAAATTTTATAACAAACCCCTTTATGCCTCTTACCACATTCTGAACAGGGCAGTATGGAATTGTTTCCCTGACTGGAACTGGTCGTTGACCCTATATTCTGCTTTTTGTTCGATGAATTATTTCGGCCTTTCTTGAACTTAAAGCCTCATCTCTTACCGCGCCATTCAGTTCCCAGTGTTTCAGTCTGTTTCAGTGCCTCGATATTCGACTCGGCTATTATCGCTCGGTCAAGAACATCTATGTATTTCAGTAGTTTCAGAACATTGATTCTGTCAAGTATTTCAACATTAAGGCCGCCTTCAAACTTCCTGGCCTTTTTGTAATCAGTGTCCACCATGTGTGGCGCATATCTGGCGAGTTCAGTAAACTTTGATTTATACTCTGCTATTGACATGGTACCCTGCTTTAACTGCTCAAATTCAGCTACTTTTCGATCCCTGACACACTGAGGGCAGTACTTCTCGAAGAAGGACTCTTTAAACTGAGCCCAAGTCATGACAGTGTTCGCATCACGGACGAGCATCCACCGCCGTCTGGCCTTTTCTTGTAAAGTAAAGGTAACCAGCAATACCTTGTGTGCCTCAGAACACGGAAACACTTCAAATAATTTCTCCGTTTCTAGCACCCATACTTCAGCCTTTAAAGGTTCCAGGCCTCCTTGGAAGGATGGTGGTTTCATTTTGCTGAACTTCTGTGTTAGAGCAATTATATCCTCATTAACATTCTGTTCGGGTTGAACTGGAGGAGGTTGGGGCTGTTGGTTCTGTTGTAGCCTCAAGGCCTCAGTCAACAGTTCAACTGTTCTTTCTAATCTTGCCATTCTGGCATCAGATGATTCTGTTTTATCGACATTCCTTGCATTGTCCATTTCACTATATGCAATACAGTAATAATAAACATAGGAATTGTTTACATAAACACATTAGCACATTAGCACATATATTCATGTCACGGCCACACACACTTTTCAATGCTTATGCAATGCCCTATTCATTTTCCTAGGACATCCTATAGCTCATTTGGACACGTGTGTGCGGTATAACTCGTGGTTTAATATCGCTCTGATACCACTCTGTCATGACCCAAACCTGCCCCTATGGGTTTAGCACCGTAACCGGCCAGTAATCCGTGATTACCAAAGGCCTGCTTAACAGTAAAGACAGTAATACAGAGTACAGGGGTTGGTGGAAGCCAAAACAGTAATAAAATGTGTCTGTAGACGCGCCCGCGAAGGGGACCTCATGCTACAGTTCGGACTCGATTTGTGTCACGGTTCTTAATCTTGAACCAAAGAGTCCAAATCCGGCAAATCGTTTTGAGAAACAGATTTTTGAAATGTAGTGCCAAACATGGACTGCTTTGCCAGATACAGAGTCGCCACCTAAATATTTTAAAATGGGAGAATTTAGGAAACCCTGACTCGGTGCCGAAGGCCACATGTCCGTCATCACCGGAGTTGTCTCGGCTCGGGAGCTTGGGTACGATCGGGGAAGGTCAGCTATGAGCACCCCCTTTCGCCCGGTCCGAAGACCGGCCTCTACTAACCACGATATCCGATTTTGAAAACGTTATGTGTTCTTATTCCAGTTATTAGCATAGAATTACTATGTTGTGCACACAGCATACAAGTATAGACTAGATTGCCTAATTTGGAAATAAGCATTGCATATCCGTTTTGTTTAAAAAAAGTGCTTTGGGATGTGCTACTCGCAAGTAGGCTAAAACACGGATTTCAATGAGTTCTTCCAACTCAAACAATCCAACCTTCACCCACAGGCATCCAAGCAGTTTATAACACATAAGCATCTAATTTAAGGTTTATTTTGTTACAAGTTTCAAACCCTAGGTTTTTTTAATTTTTTTTTAATTGTCCCAAAATGTTTTAAACCGTGAAAGATCAAATGATAATTTTTTTAAAATAATAAAATATGAAGGTAAAAAGTATAATTTATTATTATTGTTGTTGTTGTTTTTGTTATGAGTATTTATTCATAAATTCTCTTTACCTACCTATGTTTTACTTTACTTAAATTATTTTCTTATATTTTAATAAGTCTTGTGGGTGACATAGTTACCAAAATGCCTCTAATAATAATAAGATGAAGCGCATTAATATTCACATTGACAGTGTAAATGTGACATGATGTGAACATTCACAACGTCAAATTTATTTAATGTGAATGTTCACATCACTAACTTGTTAAGGGTTTAAAAAATATTTTAAAGATAAAATTATTCTAAAATACCTGAAATATTGAAATTAAGATTCAGTAATAAATGTTTAAAATAATAAGACTTATTACAATACATAAATATCTTATGGATTAATTGAGATTTTCCAATAAATTTTCCTTCTTATTATTTTCATTTTACATGGCTATTGAAATTTGAAAAGAAAAATATTGAACCCCAAGAAATTTACAAAACATTTTTACTAAATTTCTCTATGAGATTCACAAGAATCACACCCCTAAAAGTATTTGATAAAAATATTGATAAATAGCATCACTCATTTGAAAAAGGGATAATTGTTAAGTGTGTAAGTGTATATCACATGTACTTACATAAATTCTCATAAATACACGTAAGTTACTTTACAAAATCACGTAAATTTTTATAAATAATTTAAAAAATCACAACTTACATACATTTGTGAGTGTTTGGAGTTGCTACGCAGCACCTTATTGGGCCCATTTCTGGACTCAATTGATAATTTGAACGTTTACATTTTAAAAAATATTAAGTAAACCATACTTCAAAAATATTGAAATCACAAAATTTAATAATTCTAGAAGTTAGGCAGTAGTTTCTACACACACACACACACACACACACACACACACACAAAGTCATCATCAATTTGAAAATGCCAGAAAAGAAAAGAAACCTGTTGGATCAATTTGGTTCTCTATATTGAAATTGTTTGGAAGAGCAAGCTTAACATCAAGCTAGACGTGCATTGTGCCATCAACCTCCGTCTAGTGTTGAATTTTTTTACAAAACCCGTATTATTTTGAAACACATATTCATAGTGCAATTTTCTAGACCCTAGGATTTGAAGTCATGTTTTGTAAAAAAACAACTTCAAAAATTCTTATAGGTTGTTTTTGGACCCAAGATTGATAAATAAGTTTTAACAACTCATCTTTGAGAAATTTGTTTAAGAATGACATGGATTTCCTGAACAACTCATCTCATGGTAGTTGGCTTCATTTACTATTTGGTGTTGTACAACAATATATAAAATAAAAAAATAACACCAAAAGATATACATTCTTGTAGGTTTCTAACATACCTATGCATGTTTGATCTTGCATATATATATATATATACAGTACTGTTAACTTTATTGTTTTCTGTTTCATTTTTAGAAATGGATGACCTTTCGTGTATTTCATCCACTGCCTCAGAGAGACGACGCCGTGCGTTAACAAATCCTGCTTGTGGCCGAGGTCGAAAGCGGGGTCGGGGTGATGATATTGTGTTGGAGGAAGCACCTCAAATCTTGCAAAATGATGTGATTGATAATGGTTCAGGAGCTGATGATGATGCTGCTGATGTTGATCAGGCTGGCGAGGAGGTACTCACTGGTCCGTTTCCTGGAGGGCCATCGGATCCATCAGTACTGAAGAGCTTCAAGGCACATATTACAGCAGCTATATGGAAGCAAAATGTAGTATATATTTTTTTTCCATGTTTCATTCATTTAAGTATTTATTGAACCAAATTATTTATGTTAATTATTGCTTACGTTGCAGGAGAGGAATCCCTCAAGGTGTTATAATTATGCGTCCAAGATTCTTGAGTGGCAGTGGTGGTCAAGAACTGACAATAGAAGGTTTAGAGACATTGTGCAGCAGTCAGGCCTATCTTCTTTGGTCCATTGCACATATCTGTTCGTGAATAGGATTGTCATATCTGCATTTGTTAAGCGATGGCAACCAGAGACAAATACTTTCCATTTGACAGTTGGTGAGATGACAATGACATTAGATGATGTGGGTACCATCTCGAGGATCCCTATCATAGGCAGGTCAATTAGTGTTGCAACTTTGACAGATCAATAGACACATGCAGTTATGGTAACTGCCTTGGGAGTTGATGATGCTGAAGCAATTAAGGAGCTATTATCTGCTAGGGGATATACGAAGCAAATTTAGTGGTTACAAAGATTCAAACACCGAGGAGTCCATAATTTGTGCCGCCAGAGCATATTTGCTGTTTCTATTGGGATGTACATTGCTCAACGACAAGAGTGGAATGAGAGTTCCTGTTGTGTACTTGTTGTTGCTGATGGATTTGACTGATATTCATACATATGCTTGGGGTGCAGCTGCATTGGCATATTTATACCAACAGTTGGGATTTGCCGCGAGATCAGCTGTTCGACGGATGGCTGGTTGCATGACATTGTTGGAGGCATGGATTTATGATCATTTATGGCCATCCTACTTGCGCCACTCGACCCTGTTCATGTTGTTAGAGGTGTCTCAACAGATCGATATAGAGTGATGTATCATTATCTTGATTAGATATGGGAAAGTTGGGATAATCATGTTTTATCTGCTCGGAGAAGGAGTACCCCAGTCAGACGTCCGATTGATTATGTTGATGGTTACATGCAGTGGTATACAAATATCACACACTTGTATATCTAGAACCCCACACATTGGTCTGGTTTTGACCCACGTGCACATGATAGTCGATCTGATGTGCTGGATGCTAAGGTATGACAATATTACACACACATTGTTTATATTTTTTTAAAGATGTTTAGCTAATTACAATTATATTTGTTCTTAATGTAGCGTATTGATCACGCACTACGAATTACGCATCCTATCATCGAGACGAGCTATGATGCTAGTGTTTGTGAGCTAGAAAGGTTATATGAGGCCATTGAGAGGATGACATGTGTTCTTTAAGGTCAACAAATCGATGAGGCTGGACCTAGTTCTATTCTATTTAGAACATACAATCGTAGGAGAGGAGTAGAAGATAGGTAGTAGGTTTTGTGGTAATCTTGTTTTGTTATTTTCTAATGGAAGATAATAGTACTCTTTTGATGTTTTTGTTGTTTTGTAATGAACAAGAATTACTCTACCAATATTTTATAATGAACAAGTATTCATGGTTTGTATTTTTGGCAATGAACAGAAAGTATTATGCTAATGCGTTTGATATACCACAATGAACAAGTAGTACTCTGTGCATTAAACTAACTCAAAATGCTAATCTGGAAAAAAAGTATCGGTAACTATTTGAATTGCATAACTACAACTCAACTCACATACATCATTACTTGTCAAGGTTAACACAATCAAATGTCTCTCTAGTAGCTACCCCTGAATGAACAACTTCTTTAAACTGCTCAATTTGGTGACTATATGCAGTACCCCATCCAGCCGCACAAGAATGATGAAACTTGGACCAATTGGTAGCTATTGGTAGAACTGGATGACCCGGTAACATGAACACCTACATTGATAAAGCTTTAAGTATGAGATCGATGCAATACAAAATGATAAATGTATTACGCAAATCATAACGTTATACCTGGATAAAATGATTTTCATTAACAAACCCAATAGCAATCTCACGTTGTTGAACTTGTGATATTAGCACTGATCATAGTGAGAGGATGTAAGGCATTGTTGTGCAAATAAGTGGTACAATATCACATTATAACATGATGCAATAAGATGACCCATATCAAGCATAGTCATCTAAAAATGATAACCTGGATTGGGCTCAAAATATGATAGAATATGGGTCAGCTTTTCAATCATGTCATGTGAACCATATAGATGAGTATAATTGTCACGACCCAAACCTGTCCCTATGGGTTTAGCACCGTAACCGGCCAGTAATCCGTGATTACCAAAGGCCTGCTTAACAGTAAAAATAGTAATACAGAGTACAGGGGCTGGCGGAAGCCAAAATAGTAATAAAAGGTGTCCAATGAGCTATGACAGTCTATATGCAAAAAGACTTTTTCAAATATATTCACATTCATAAGCAAAACATATATACATACAACACATACAGACATTCAGGTTAGGGACCAAATCCCTACCATGACAGTACAGTACAAGTCTTAACATTCTATACAAAACAAAAGCAAAAAGGGGGAATCTAAAACACCCCAAAGCAGCCTTCGCTTGAGCACACTTGGAATCTCGCAGTGAGGCACATTGGTTGGCTAGACAAAAAGGGAGTTTAACCCAACGCCCCTAGCTCTGATCCGGTGCCTGAACACCTATATATAAATATAAATAGTAAGCTAAAGCCCAATGAATAACAAATGCGTAAAAGGTTAAGAATGAATGTCTTTTCAGCCATTAAGCAGTCATATCAGTCATTTAGAAACCATAGTAGGTATATGTGGCATATCCAATAGCAAACAGTACAGTCGGTCTTAACAGACCGCACAGTCAGTTGATGGCCATCATAACAGTAAACAGTAGTGGTTCCAAACATGGGAACCGACAGAGATCTCTGTGACAGTAACAGTAACAGTACAGTAACAGTAAATTGCTATGGATAACATGAATACAGTTTACAAATAGGACAAACATCATTCATTAAACAATAACGTTTCAGTAAACAGAACAGTTGATCATTCGGAAAATATTCATAACTGAACATATATTTACAACATTGTTACTCACAGAGCACTGGGCTACAGAGAGGCTAGTGAGCATCCTCGGATGCCAACCCTACACAGTTATAGAATGAAAACACACTAAGTTACACACTTGGGAATCAATGACTTAGTCCCTATTTGGACTCGGTGTGGTTCTACATTAATATCCTCATTAAGATGCCTTAAACATGGCCTAGCAATGCTTAGGATGGAATGAGGATGCAAAGATGCACTTTAAAACACTTTTCAAAATTTTCAGAAAACAGAGGTCTCACTCGAGCGTGGCTTTCTACGCTCGAGCGAACATGCAGATAAAGGAGCTCCGCTCGAGCGTGACTTCCTTCACTAGAGCGGACTGTAAACTCATGAAAAGTACTGCATACATGTAATTCACGCTTGATGGGTGCTCGACCTCCGCTCGAGCGTGAGACACAAGTCCTCACTCAAGCGTGCATTCCCGCGTTCGAGCGGACTGTAAACATATAAAAAGTACTGGATACACGCGTTTTACGCTCGAGCGTTACTTTCCCCGCTCGAGCAAGATGCATGTACTCAGAGTGTACGCTCGAGCATGAAGTCTTACGCTCGAGCGTGGGTCCAAAATCTAGAATTTCCTAATTGAACCTCCAAGCTCAAATTCAACATTTAAAGCATCAAATTCGATTCTTTTGGGCAATTTTCTGGAAAACACTTATGACATGTTTCAAAGATCAATTTGCAAAATCAAAGCCCAAAGGTAGTTCAATTAAACACAAATCCAAACAAAACTTCATGAACATAATGTATATGTAACATGCAAGTGTTCAATTGAAATCAAAGCTTCAAATACTTGATCAAATGAGTCAATTCACTCAAAAATATGATGAATTCATGGACCATAGCTAGAATATAGACATGCATGTGAGGATTTCCATGAAATCAACCTCAAACTCAATAATGTGTACATGCATGCATGATTCAAGCTTCAATTCAACAATTTAAAACCAATTCTAGACTTAGATCACTAATGGTTCATGAACCATGCAAGATACAACTAGAATTCAAGTTCAAGAAGATGATTCTCTTACCTTAGGTCTTTAATTTCAAGTCTAGGAGTTCAAATATGCAATGAATTTCTCAAATCTTCTAAGTCTCCAAGCCAAGTTCTTGATGAGCTAAGTTTTCTCCTACTCTCTCACTCTCTCTCCCACGGCTATGGCCAAGAAGATGGAGAATGATGCAACAAAATGATACAAATTCAAGTCTCAAGAGGTCTAATGAAGTGGCCCACTAATGTGGCAAAAAGGTAAATAATGCAACTAATGTAATTCAACAATATCAATCATTCCTAATCAACTTTTAATTAAATTTACCATAAAATCGCATAAATCCTAATCAGCACATAACACTAATCAATTTCTGATTCGACCGCCGATAAGGCCTTCAATTTGCAATTTAAAACATAAAACATGAACAGATCATTTAGCAGTCAAACAGATAGACTTGCATTTAAACTAATACACATAGTCAATCAATTCCGAATTTCAGTCAGATCAGTTATTTAACATGTTTAACCACAGTTTAGCACTAATTAGTAGTATATCAGTAAACAGTGGCGAGGGTTGTCACCGTTTCTCCTCCTTACAAAGAGTTTGGTCCTCCAAACTCGAATTACCTTCGTTTTGAAAGAATACTAGATCCAGAGGGAACAATTTAGGATACTGTTTCATCATATCGTCTTCTCTTTCCCAAGTGGCATACACGCCACCATGGTTTTGCCAATCAACGTTCACTAGAGGGATCTCTTTGTTCCTCAACTTTTTGATTCGACGGTTTACAATTTGAATAGGCCGTTCTTCACAAGTGTAGTCATCATTTAGCACTACACGGGTAGGCTCAATAACATAGAAGGGATCCCGGAGGTAATCCCTTAACATTGAAATATGGAAGACATTATGCATATGCTCCATTTCAGGAGGAAGCGCTACTTGATACGCCACCGGATTAATCTTTTCAATAATCTCATACGGCCCGACATATCTCGGCGTTAGCTTACCCTTGACTCCAAAACGAGTTTGGCCTTTCATCGGTGTCACTTTAACAAAAACGTGATCACCTACTTCATATTCTCTGTCTCGCCTTCGGACATCTGCATAACTTTTCTGTCGACTTTGTGCGGTTTTCAGCCTCTGTTGAATCAGTTTTACCTTCTCGGTAGTTTCATGTGCAATTTCGGGCCCAAGCAAAGGACCATCTCCAACTTCTGCCCAGCAAATCGGAGATCGACATTTTCTGTCATACAAAGCCTCAAAAGGCGCCATACCAATGCTCGAGTGAAAACTGTTATTGTAGGCGAACTCGGCCAAAGGTAAACGACTTTACCAATTTCCTTGGAAATCAAGAACACACATTCGCAGTAAATCCTCCAGAGTCTGGATGGTT